GTGGCTACCTGCTTAGGGCCCACTAGGGTCCTCTATGGAAACAGTTTTCCACAGGTAGCAAGCCAACGGATGGCATGATGCATTTGTTCTGGTACACACAAGTAGACGTTGTTAGTGAACCTTCTGCTCAGCATGGAAAGATAAGAGACTAAAGAGGCAGGACCAATATGCAGAGACACAATGGGAAGCTAGATCCTGTTAGGGCATAAAGTTTAAATACTGTGTGGGTGTGCGTGTATTAGCCTTATCATACCCACAGCTACTTGGAAATGTACTGAGTTCAGTGGGGCTTGCTCCTTTATAAGTGTGCACAGGAGGGATGGGGAACTTATAGTTCTCCAAATGTTGCTGAACTACAACTCTCAAAGGATCTAGCCACTAAAACCATTGGTGAGGGTTGCTGGCACCAGATGTTTTGAACAACTGAAGGGCCCTAGGTTGCCATCTTTGCTGCCTAGAACTGCAGTGTCAAGATAATATTATAGTGAGAATCTAGTTATGCTAGTATTTTTAACGGTATGTGGCTTAATCAGTAGAGTCTGGATACCCATTTCCTAGGGATACTGTGGTACTGCATTTCCTGCACCAAGCAGAAGATTAGGAATTTATTGCCTTGGAGGTAATTTCCAACTTTGTAATTCTATACATTTTGATAAGAGGGATATAATACAGAGAGAAAGACGGGAACAGGAACAGAAGGAACAGAACAGAAACTTTATTGATTTAGTCATCTGACCATATGAGAGAAAGAAGGGGAGAGATGCACAGAAGTATGCCTTAATGAACCATACTTCAGCAGCACAGCAAGGGGTGCCCCTTACAGTAGATGACCACTGATAACAACAGTAACAAAAATTGGCTCTAGTCTCAGACAGAGTCTTTTTTTCCTCTTTTTCTTTCTTTCTTTCTTTGAGCAAAAATGTGGAGGTGGTTGTAAGTCTAGGGCCTGAAGCTGTAATCCCCAATGAATTAAGAAGTATGGCCTCAGAAACAAATTCAGGAGAAGAGATTACACCATAATTTTACAGATAATGCCTTATTTGGGGAATTGAATGCAGAACAGGCACACCGCCTGTAGAGTTAGCTGAACAGCTGGGTAAGTCACAAATGATAGTAAAACCAGGGGTTGAGTTTATATAGCTGGAGTCTCTAAGCAGAAATACAAATTATGACAAATTAATGGGAACTGTGACATTTTCTCGTTTTGTAAATAAACTCTGAATCTGAGAAGCTCTCTTTTCCCAGAGTACTAATAAATAAGAGTATACAGGAGATCTCATGCAAAGTAACCACATGCTTATAATTTTCCAGTTTCTAGATCCCCTGTGTAACATTTCCTGTTTGTATTGCTTCTTTAAAGTTTACAAAGTAGATAACCTTCCAACTCCACTGATATGTTGATTTTTTTTTAATAAAATGACATGTGTATATTAGATTTCATAGAAAATTATCGTTCCAAACCTTCATCCCCAGGTATATAGTATAGTTACAATACATGTAAATAGACAATACATAGTATATGCAGATAATAAGGATCCATAAATAGGGAATGTTTTTCAGCCCACATCACTGGGCTGCACCAATCTGTGGCTAATAGATTAGCTCTGTCTTAACTAAATTGTGAGCTGAGCTAACTACCACGTCCAACAATTGCCGTCAAGAACTGTTCCAACTATTTTACTATCCTATGCTGGGGCCTGAATAGGTCTGTTACTTCATACCTCCCCTTGGGAAGTAAAGAACTGATAAATCCAGACAATGAAATCCTGAGACTGAGTTCAGAAGCAGACTAAATTTGCTGGGCAGAGTCCATGAATGTTGTTAGTTCACATGGTGAAAGAACCTTGCCAGTTAAAATTCTTGTCACTGTTTTGCTCTCTCTGGAGCTTTACATAACAATCTTCTGAGTTAACTGAATGAAAGAAATATGCAGAGGACAAATATTCAGAATTTTTCTCATTAATAACACATACACATTCAAGTGAAAGGCAGACATAGATGAATAACTGGGAGGGGGGGAGTAGAGGTGGGCTTAATGTCTCCTCTCCTCAATTTACCAGGAAGAAAGCTATTGGTGCTATAAAAGGGCCTCATTTCAACATACTCCCTCCCTTCCTCTCTCTGTGTCATTCAATATATAAATCTGCATTAATAATTTTTAAAATCAGCCATGCAATGCAGTGCAGAAAATCTAGCTAAGTCAGCTTTCCCCTTCAAAAAATGATTTGTATCCTTTTAGGGACATACCACCTTTTCTTTAAAAAGCAAAACAAAATAAAACTGTTCCAAATAAATACAAATGCTGGCTATATTTTGATCTTATTCTTTTCAGATGCTGGAACTCACTACTGTACTATCTTCTTTCAATTGGAAAAAGGTTTTTTGTTTTTTTGTTTTTTTGCTATACTGAATGCTAAAAAGGATAGTTATATGTCTAAAAAAGAGATATCAAAAAGGCCTGTTGGAACAGATTACAATGTTCTGTTTCTTGCAATCAAAAGACTATTCATTTGGAGTTGAAAAAAATGAAGGTGGTGGTGGGGAACAGAATAATTTCCTGATTCCCCAGCTCAATTACGCAAATATCCTTCTTGTTTACTACCATTTACTCACATTCTTTCTATGATTCTCCTCAGCTTTCATTTCATTTCACATGCACAGAGATATCCTGGGTTGTTTCTTTTCAGAAATAACAAAATGTGCAATAAATCAGGGGTCATATCACAAACAGGATGTTACAATGCTATATTATCATTTGACATCACTTATGTGTTATTGACATCATTAATAACAAATAAAACAAGTTTGACATCACTGCTTGCAAGCAAAGCTATTTTCATCAGCACTTTCCAAAAATAAGCTCTCCTGTCTTTTTCTAGCTGATACCTGAAAAAAAAAATCATCCCAATGTGGGGAATTTTCAGTGGTGTCAAAAAGATTCACAACCAAAATCAGTTTCTCTTTTCAGCTCAGCATTACAGCATTACATGACTACATCAGATATGGTTTGATTTGTCCACCAATATCAAATTGAGCTTATCCACTTACAGATTAAACTCATGAATAAGATAGGAACCAAATAATAGTGATCAGGAACTAAAGCAAAGGAAAAAGGACTGATTTAGCTACTGCACTGAGCTGTGAAAGACTAAGGTTTCCATGGCCGGAGATGAATAAAGTAGACAGATGAACCACAGGTCAATGGCAGACATATGCCTTACATGGAAAGCGTTCCTGGGTTAATTTTTAGTATCTCCAGCTTTGTGTACTGGATTTCAACTGCGACAATTTCCACCTGGAAATTATGGGAAAGCATCAGATTTTGGAAGGCCGCTATGGGGAATACTGAGCAAAATGGATAAATGGCCTAATTTAGTATGACAGCACCCTATATTCTAGAGGGGAAACCCTATTGATTAGGGTACATAGGGAGAAGGTGGTAGCAGAATAGCTTGGTAAGGTAGAATGGATCATACACCCTTAGTTTATGATGTATTACTTTTTTTTCCAATATTACATTCTCCATGTGTGAAAGTATTTGAATGAGTAGTAGTTGCTTTGCCTCCTATAAATGTATGAAACAGGGTGGACAGGGACGGTGTGCCTCTTCTATATTACTGAGACATTTCAAATCTAATCTAACATAACAAGGGATTTAAGAAGACATTTCCCATATGAAACTGAATTAAGTATAAAGATATGCATTGCCATCATTCTATCTATAGGCTATAGGAAGCCTTGATATTTGAAGGCAATCCATAATTGTGCAATAAGAATTAATAGCAAACTATATGCAGATCTCATGCCATTTCATATGCTGCCATGAAAGCTGTTTTTATGTGCAACAGCCATCACAGTTGTACAAAATAATGGTCACCAACAGTTGGCCTTCAGCAAGTATATTTGAGGATAATTTAAGAACATGTGATAGACTACTGTATGTTGAGAAAGTATTTAAAAATGCATTGGCCTAACTGAATACTTCTCATCTGCCCACATTCTGCTCTCCATATTCATTAAGTTAACTTGGCAACCTTTGAGCACTTGGTCACTACTAGTTTGGCAATTCTTCCATGTCCAGGCTTCCCTTAGGGTTGGTTTTATAGATTTTAAAAGAATAAATGTAGCTCTGATAAGGGTACTTACATGTGCATTAGCCCAACATTCACCAACTGTTTTCTCTTTAGGCCTAGTGCCCAGTCTCCCAGGAAGTTCACAGTAGTTTTTCCCCCCAAGGTTTGTTTGAGTATCTGTCATCCTAGAGCAGCGTTTGTCAACCTTGGCAACTTTAAGATGTGCGGACTTCAACTCCCAGAATTCCGGAATTGTTGCCAAGGTTGACAAACACTGTCCTAGAGGCTTGGTGTAGGCCACAGTAGTTCAAATCCAAAGAGGCTTCTAAACACCTTTAAAAACGTTAAAGCAGAGATACCTTGCTGGTGATTACAATTAAACCTGAGTGAAATCATAGGCAACTTGACTGGTGCAGCTCTTCAGTTGGAGCATGGAGTGCAGAAAGAGATACAGAGTAATTCTGCAGGTTGCCATGATCTGCTGGGGCAGATAAAAAAGCTGGGGTTTTCTGAGGGCCTGGAGCATTCCTGGCTGGTTCTCCATGAAAAATAAGAAAACTCAGACCCATTCCCAGAACTGACTCGCCTGTCGTTTCTACAGCCAAATGTGTTAGCCGTGCCCCCTCTGATCTGGCTTGTGCAGCCCCGTGTGGTTCTGGTTCTCACAAGAAAATGCGTGGGTTGGGAGAAAAGTCTGTAAATAGTCGGGAGGGCTTTCTCTCCTGTACTGGTTGGCACTCTTGCTGGCGCTCTAGCTGGTTTCGGGAACCAGCGTCCAGCTCCGTCTCCTGCCAGCCGCTCCCCTTCTCCCGGGCGGGAGGCGTGACCGGCAACCAAAGAAGGGGTGTGTCGGGGGGCGCGGCGAGGAGCGGGGGCGGGTCCCGGCCGGGCTCTG